TGAGAGATCCACGACCAAAGGTAGCATTGGCCGGGGTGTAGGGGAGGTTGGAGCCCTGTGAGTGTCCGCCGAAGGCGTGACAGCACTGGAGGCTGTGGCGAGGGGGACCCCCACCACTGAGGGTCCAGTTAAGGCCGTGTCTGGCAGGTTTCGGGGGGGCGCCCCCCGCCCCCCGGGCACCCCCTCGGGGGACCGTCACCTGGGGCACCCTCTGGGGGCTGCCCGCAGGACCGGGGCAGACCCGGTCAGCCACCCGAGCAAAAGCAGCCCGGGAACGCCTTTTGGATCAGAGGCGGGCACAACGTTACACATGTTTATGCTCGTTTATGCAAGATCTTTCACTGTACACGTGCAGTCAAGCAATGGGCACTGCAGCAGGTGTTGCAGAGTCTGAGGCTCTGTGCCACCATCACGGGCAGCTGAACCAATGGTGTAGCCATGCTTCTTCATTAGTTCCTTGGAGCATCCAACTCTGGTGCGTAGGTGGTTGAGACATTACCACCTTTGCCATGATTTGTCGGCCCCTGGTAGCAAGGACTCAGCCACTGGGATGTCCATTTTTTCACTGTCGGGTATTTTTCAGCCTCTCATTCCACATCTGTAGTTGGTTTAGAGTGTTAATAGAATATTACCTGACTGGGGTTGTGACGTGAATGCTTCTGCTATGCCCCCCTACCCCCTTAGACTATTAGGAAAGGATGGCTGGAAGACACATTTGGAGGTCCTTGAGTCCAAGCCCCTGCTCAACGCAGGAGCATCCCTATCCAAACCATCCTAGTCCTGGTCTAAACTAGTCCTAAAACTGCACAACCCTGCTGCACAACTACAAGACACTATGCAGGACACCAAATTCACCCTAACTTGCCACAGGTAAAGCAGGGGAGGTGTGGATGGCAAGACCCTCTAACCAAGAGAATATGATCAGCGGGTGGGTGTGTGTTGGGAGGGGGGTGGATGTTGCAACCATACGGGGGGGAGGTGTTTGGAGGAAAGGGGTTTATAGACTATATTCATGGGGCCAGAAAGGGAATGAGAGTGATTATGCCTCTGTGGGCAAATGATTAGTAAACTCATCTGAGATGGGGGAGTCCCGAGTGCCAGCCCCTGCTCCAAGGAATGTTTATGAATGTTAAACCGTCAGTGGTTACAATGCCTAGACACGCTGGACACCAGATTCCTCTCCACCCCTCTCAGCTGAGCTGCAATGGCTGTAGCCTAATCCCAGACTACAGCCATGTGCAAGCACCCATTCTCATGCTCCCTTTCGCTCTGGTCCTGTGACTCGTCTGTGATGCACAGACTGCTGTGTAGTCTCAGCAGGTGTGAACAACCCTTTCCTGCACACCAACTGGAACGGCTTAAGGCCCTCTCCTAGGAGGATCCAGCTATTGGTTGAAGCTTCCTCCTTAGAGGAGAATATTGGACTCAGATCTCCCAGATCCTGGATGTCCCACATGCTCTAACACTAAGATACTTTACGGGGTGGGGGTGCAGCTTTTCTAGGGCCATTTTTTAAGGGGACTAAAGTGATCTCTACTCCATTCTTAAAAGAAAGATTGCAGCATCTTTCTACTGAAGAAACTTCTGGGCTGTGGATCTCAAGGAGATGGGTTCGCCTCCCTGCAACCATAAGAAAAGGACATTATTTCAAGTATACCCACATCAACATTTCCCACCTTGTTAGCTGGAAATAGCTTCCCTATTCAGTGCACTATTTTTGGATCCCACTTGGAGGCACCTAGTTTTTTTCCCCATGCGCTGGGTTATTTACCTAACACAAGGGTGTGGAGTCAGCTCTGGAGACCAGGTACCTAAAAGTTATGCATTGCAACACCACACTTTTAGGTTCCTCAGGTTTTTCTTTGATTCTGGTCTCCGCTGAGCATGTTTCTGTGATTATTGCTGGCTTCAATAGGATTTCAACCACCAGAGAACTGCTTCTGATCCACCCTCCCCTCCCCCAAGAGTAAGGTAAGTATTTTATAAAACAGGAAAACTTTCCTTGGCTTTCCAACCTGGCTACAGGCTTCTCAAAAAAGCTCTGTAAACTGTTCAGCACAGGCCAATAATCATAGCTTCCCCCTCAAGATTAGCTGGTGGTTTCTGGGACCTTCCACTTTGGGGCATACACCAGCTCCTGGCTTCTGAGACCCTGCGTGAATCCCATTGTTCACCTGTATCAAATCTCAAAGCCCTCCCCAATGTAGTCCAAACGCTCGCTAGTGCCACAGCTTCCTACCCAAGGAAGCCTTTGAGAATTCAGTCAGTTACATACAATGCTTCTTACCCTCTTGGGCCTGGACCAGCAGTCCAAATAACCTTAGAGGCTTTGAAAAATCACATTTCTGTCATGAAAGATTGACGGGGAAGTTCTTCCATTCAATTTGGCAACTTCTACATTGGGTGGTATGTACCCATGTGTATAGTTCTGCTGACTAGATAAGACTTAGGGCCTTGTTGCATGGTCATTTTGGGCAGCTCCTGAAGCATTTAACTCCTGGATTGTCTGCACATTAACACCTGAAACTGGTGTAAAGCACTTGTTATGCAGCTCAATTACATCACTCTAGGGCAAGTTTATCTCTGATCTGCCCTACCCAGCTCCTGTTGCACCCTGCCCCTCACCCCCAGTGGAAGCAGGAGGGGACCCTGAAGGACAAAGGGAAAGCCCTGGGGGTAGGGGGGAGGCCCGGCATGGGTGGGGGGAGGAAAGGAGAGGGGGATTTTTACCTTTCAGTCCTCCAGGTCCTTGCTGGCCTGAAGTGTGACTGCTCCAAACATGAGCTAGCACTACCATCCATCCACATTTGTGTGGCTCACAGCCAGTTGTGTAACAAGGCCCTTAGCAGGTCTGTTTGGCAGAGCTGCTCAGTGTGAGTGGGGTTTGTAGAAAGGTGACCCTTTATGGGCACATCATATTTCATTTGGAAAAAGTCCTGACATTTACAAGCCTAGGACTCTATGATTTTAAATATCAGAGACATTTCTTCCTTCACCCTATTTTCAAAGTCACCTCCTCTGCTCACGGTCAAACTGATCACCACATTTGGGATAAAGAAGGAATTTTACTTTACAGCCCTCTGTCTTGGATCTCGAGTGTTTTTAAAAACCCTTACAGCAACAGGACATTGACGGTGCCCTTGTCCCCTTGCTTCACCTGTGGCAGGTTCTTAAGTGTTTTAGGGCAATGTGTCTCATAGTTGTGTGACAGGGTTACTGGTATAGTTTTAGAGACAGGTCAGACAAGCACTTGTGTAGGATGGTCTGGCTAGTGATCTTGGGGAGAGGGTTCGACTAGGTGATCTCCTGATGTCTCTTCCAGCTCTACTTCTCTATGATTCTGTGATTCTTTTTTGTTGCAATCTGCAGCTCAGGTATTTTGTTTAAACACTTAACCATCTAAATAACAGAAACCTCAGTCAAGTTACCTTGATATTTATTTTATTTAAAGGATCAGAAACACAGTCATTGTAATTCATTTGCACTCATAAGCGCCAACATTTCCTAAATCACGTTAACATTCATGTATCACAAAATCACTTTCTGAGCTGTGCAAAGTACGAAGGAACTGTTCAATTAGCTGAACCCATTTCTAGAATAGCGACCCTGGCATTATACAAAATGGGGCTGCCAGAGGGATTCTTTCACTTTTTTTTTTCTATTGTAGGAAATGTACTCACACTCCTCTACTTCCTTCTCTCTTTCCTTTGTATGTAGTTAGAAAATGGACCACAGTAGGAGTCAATCCTCTTTCACAGTCATGGCACTGGTCACTTTCTTTAATGCTAATCAGTCTGATGTTCTGCACTCATACTCCTGGCATGGAACTGATTTGACCAAGAAGATTACTCAGTAACCCAAACTGTTATAATAAGCAATAAACGGGGGTGAGAAACAGCTGTTTCCCAAACTTTCAAACACCAAAAAAATATTTCTTGCAGGAGGTATGACCAAAAGGAATATTTTAACTCTCATTATCCATCTTTATCATCATTATTGTCCTCTCTCGAAAATACATTTAGAAACACTGATTTCATGACACAGACGTGTGTTTTCCTTTATTTCCTTGCATACTAGCTTTTGTGCCATACAATTTAAGCATTAGAGGGTGGAAATCTGGAAGTATTTTAGAGCTGGCTGAATACAATATGCAGTAACCAAGGCATCTTCCTGTTTCATTTTTCTGAGCATAGTAAATGCAGTCTTGGAACCAGATTTGAACATGGATTTAATCATTATAGTTTCAGCAAAATCTCTCTCCTTCTGACAGTATTCACCCAGAGACTTTACAGAACACATTTTTGACGTGGCTAGCTTGCTAACTCTCTAGTGTCTTGTGCAACACTGATTTGGACCAAATAACTGGTCAGATAGTTCTTTGTTCTTAAGTCAGTCTTTGGCAGAACAAAAATTTTTAATCTTCTATTGGTTACAAAAAGGCAACCTTCTCCCAACAATAGTCAAACATTTTAGCAGCTGATTTTCTATAACTGGGAATATTAACAAATGATATAATGTTAAAAATGGGGGAAAAAATTATGCCTCCCTTCCTCCCCCTCCCCCCCAATAAAAAAATAAAAAATTGAAAATGTCTTCATGCTTTGAAGGTGCTACACTTGGCCACAGACTGTGTTTCTGGAATCTGTTCATTACATATGACAGCAAAAGCAACTTAATTTTACTGGAGAACAGTGTCATAGAATGGAACTTAACATGAACGTTCATTTATACATATTGTGATATGTGCTAGTATACACATCTTGAAAAACACCAAAAGACATCTTTCTCGTGAAATACTGGTAAGAAAATGATGTCAATTATCTATTTTAATAAAACCATGTCCAGAGAACTGCCCCCCTAACTTGTGCTTGTTCGCCTTGGCAATCAGCTTGCCACTTGTGAAAGGCAAGATACTGCCACAGTTAAAAATATTCCTTTATCATAACTTGGTTTATGCATAATTGATTTTTAAAAAATACTCTCGTAATTACATTTCTGGATTTTTTTCTCTTTTTGATTAATATGAATAACTGGATAAACTTGCTTTATACTTATTGCACTTTGAAGTCCCTGGTAGGATGGAAGCTTACATTGCCCGATTCATTTTGTATTGTAGCTTGACCAGGTTTAGAAAATGAACAGCATCAAGAACTGTATATTTCTACAGTAAGAAATCACACTTTGATCATGATCATTACAGCCTTTTCAGCTCAGCTCTCATCTCTGTGATGCAACGACAGAGGAAAATTCCACTATTCTTGTGCTTGCTGGAATCTGCAGTGTTCTTTTTATTGCCTTAAAAGTCAATTAAAATTACTCCTCCTGGAAATGCTCCCAATTCTTGAATACTTATCACTGTCTAGACAGAGTATTGTGCTTTAGAAACTACATCTGTGAGAGGAAGCTTGTTACACACAGTCAAGTATATGCCCATCGCTGCCGAACCTGATTTTCTCTCTTGCTTTACGTAATGCTAGCAAACACTTTGAACTTGCTGAAACGTGCTTTAGATGCATTTCAGATTCCTATGTCAAATGTGAAACCTGCTGCAGCCTCGCCGTTGAGCCAAACCAAAGTTTTCCTAATAAAAAAAGTAGCACCAGATGTTATGAAAAAGAGAAAATGTCTGCTCTATTAGGAATATACACAGATATAAAGGATAACAATCCTTACAGTAAAAAGTATGTCGTACAAAAAAAAGCAATTGGAAGTGATACTGAAGGACAAATAACCATGCTGCATATAATAAAGGCAGAAGATAGGTAAAAGGGATTCTGCTCAGATAACCACAATTGAATGGTGGAGCCATACTTCCTCAAGGGTGTTCCCAGTACATGTCACTGGTGCTTCAGATACTATGAAACTAGTCACTAACACACTTCCTGACTGACGCTTTTATGCAACACATTTTTGAGGTATATCAACAGCATGACACTAATGTTTTGGACTCCTCATTCTTCCTTGCAGGATACTGCCCAATTCTTTAGCTGGGTTTCCCGTACTTTCCCTTATCTCTCCTGGAAAAACAAAATCCCAGTTCCATGAGCTTCCTACCACCCCTCTTTAAACTTTCAAATCCATCTTGCATAGGCCAGTAATAAGAACACTGCAGCTCTGACAAATAAGTTACAGCAATAAAACAACTTTCATTTTTTTCTCTTTTTTTAAAGATATTTTCTCTATAATTTACACAAAGGGGAACAGGTGGAGTTCAGGTTAGATACAGTCCAAATGTGCATCCTCTCAGTCTGTAATTCCAGGTGGAAGGCACTACTTCAACATACCACTGTATGCACCAGATATGGTTTTGAAAACACAGCAAAGTACTGTGCCTCCAGAGCTGTAGACAGGACGGCTGGGGAGTCTTTGGAAATAGAAATGGCAGTGGATATCAGTCAGGTCTCCCTTGGCTGTCTCTTTTTGTGCTATGGAATTTCCCCTGAAAAAGTCTTCAGTTCAGAGAGTGGCAATGAGTAAAACGTGTCCTCAGAAGCTCTCTACAAAGCTTCCGGGGAAGAGGCCTGTCCTGCCATTTCGCTGTAATGTCCCTTTATACCAGCCGTCCTCTCTTTTCTTGTGCACAAACACAATGTCACCTTCTTTCAGTTCAATTTCTGCTTCGCTTTGAGGTGGGTAAGGTACCACAACACGATATCTGTAAAAACAGAAGGAAAGACTGTATCACACACAAATCCAATGGTCTGATCTAGTATTCCCTCACATGGGCAGGATGCTACTGGGAGCTGCATGAAGTCGGTCCTACTCTTATGACAGCACAGCACATTTCAGAGAAGTGCAAACTGAGTTTGCCCCAACTGCCTTGCAAAACTCCATCTCCATCTCTGAAACCTAAACTTCCCAACAGTTTAAAAAGGATGCTTGTCTCTTCCTAAGCACTGTATGGAGTGGCCTTGTATGTCTCAGAGTTGTGCAAATAATCAATTTGTTGGTTTAGTGGTCAAACCGGGGTCACCAGAAAACACCCCTCTTGGCCCCCTGTGCCAAACAAAAACCGTTAAACATTATTTGGGTTTAACAGAGACCTGCCTCCTTCAGTCCCAGCAGATAAATCAATTCATACTCATATCAAGCTCCATCTTAATTCAGTTTCTTGTCCACTACTATTGCACCTGGAAGGCTGATCAACCTTATTCCTCTGAGAGTGAGAAACCATCATCTCATTCTAGCCATGCACAGGCAGGTTATATTTGTTCTTGTGTCAACACAATATTTTAGCTTAGGCAGCACTTCCCCACCCTCCAGTATTTGTCCCCCTGGGGTACTTACTGAAAGCAATCAGGCAGCAGTGTAACTGGGAGGAGGCAAGTAGCTGGTGAGTCAGAGTGTCATGACCCAATGATTGTGTGCGCACTTCGGCACTGCAGAATTATTTCCCGCCACATGGAGCTTTCTTTGCATGGTGCAATTCTCAGTTGCATAGAGAAAACCCCGGTGCAAAGGAGTTCCTGCCACCCGTATGTAAATTTGTTTCCCACTATTGGCTGTTTCTAAATTATTCCCACATGGCGGCTAGCGATTGGCTTGCTAGTCGTATAAGAGGTTTGAGCAGTTTCCGCCCAAGTTATAGAGGACTCCACAACCATCTCGTGGGGACTCTGAAAGGTCAGAGACTCTGAAAGGGGGCACCTGGGTTCTAGATGCTCTTCAGCCTAGGGGGATTCAAACCCACTTTAGTAATTTTTAAGTGTCTTAACCCTGACTCCTGCTGATGCTGCATTTACGGGCAGAAAGGAATGAAGGTATATCAGGGCCAGAAAGAGATCAAATCAGAGGAGGCCAAGCCCTAGAAGTTCAGGTCTCAGAGGAACCATGTAAAATCTGGAGGTCCTGAACTAAGGCCCCTCTAAGGGAAGGTGTCATAGTTTCCATTAAGTGGAAACTATGACACCTCCTTTGTGGTAACCCTCAGACTACGGCTGAGAAACAAGCCTCTCACTCACTCCTATGCTACACACACTGCAAGCAAAGCAGGGGTGGGAGATAGCCTAGCTCACCTGTAAGACCAGTGCTCTCCAAGCTGCATATTCATCATGTAAGTTTTGCTAAAATTAATTCACCCAGCTCCCATAGTATTGTACAGTCATTTTGTCTTACTGTACAAGTGGCAACTGCTGGAAGGGAAACTGTTTCTTTCTGGAAGGGAAACTGTTGGTTAGGATACAGCAAGTTTCAGTTTTCACCTACTGTATTTTCTTTGAAGTTTTTCAACAACCCTAGTTTTAAACCCATTCCTGGTTCTTTTAGGGTAAAAGAACTGGTCTCAGAGCTGGCTGTATGGGTAATGCACCTAGTGAAGAAAGAACATGTGGGTTCTTCACCAAGAGTTGTGAAACGAACATAACCCCTCATGACATGGGACTTGCATGGGTAGGGTTGCTTGGCACTTACGGGAGATGAGAGTTTTAACCACCAGGAAAGGGGGGACAGGCTGATTCTTAGTATTGGACAGTTAGAAGGATCTGCCTGGCTGGTAGAGACCTAGGACCCTCCCGGCTAGAAACTGCTAGTTTTGGGCTGGATCCCTGTAATTTATTTTTCAAGATGTGACGGGCTAGCTAGAGGTGTTGTGAGAGGGGTGATGTGGCCCTCCAAGATGAGTTTACCCTCTGCAGCTGTAACTGTGGTACACACCCAAGGCCATCTTTGGTGCATGGGAGGGAAATTGCTCATAGAGAGAAACAAAACTGATTTGCTGCTCCATCTCTTGGTTTGCCCCCTAGTTTCTTATGATTAGAATTGGCAAAAATTGGGGACTCTGAGCCCATGAGAAATGTACATGCTTCAAAAAGTTTGGTTTTTGCGTAGAATCTGAGTAACTCTATTTCCCCCCCCCCAATATCCCATGAACTGGAAATCTTGAAAAAAATCCTTTCCACAAACACTGACACATTCTATTTTCATGGAACATTTTGGATCCGGGATAGACACACTTTCCATCAGAGCTCGGTTTCACTGGAAAATTTTTGCTCAGCCCTGCTCAGGACCTCAAAATATTTTGCTCATGAAGCTAAGGTATGAGAGCACAAAGGAGCTGCTAATTGTTCCTATTAAATAATGGCAGTAGCTCCTTATCACGTGTATGTTTTTTTCTAGCACTGCCCCTGCCCTTGTCACACTCGTCTTCTGCTTTGCTGCATCTTGCTCTGGACTCTTTCTGAAAATGACATTGGGGTTGTCAGGAGCAACACAGACAAAAAGGCTGCCCTGTCCTAAATAGTTAACAAGTAACAGAACAATCCAGGTAGTCAGCTTCTAAGCTTTTTTAAGTGTGGGGAGGGAAAGCCTGCGAGCATTTTTGCTGCTTATAGGCCATACCTATACAGGCAACCCCCACTTAGCGCTCTTAATTGGATCTGGAAAAACTGAGCGCTAAGTGAAATCCATTTCCCCATAGGAATGAATGTAAATAGGGATAATTGGTTACCACCACTTCTTGTAGCTGCCACCGCCTCTGCCCATCCGCCAGCCACTCCAGCACCACATGCCTTGCCCTGAGCACGAGCCCCCACTGGCCCTGACCCCAGGCACTGGTGCTTCTGCTGCCCCACCCTGGGCGTGGGCCCCCGCTGGCCCTGGCCACTTCTCGCTGCTTCTTCCCACCCCTCCACCTGCTCCAGTACCACATGCCAGCCCAGGCCCCATGCTCCTGCTGCCCCGGGCCTGGGCACCGGCGCAGGTCCTGCATTCATGCCTGCCCCCCCCGTCCCTCTTTCTGCTTCTGTGAGAAGACTCACCGCTTCTCACCA